CCCCCCCCCCCCCCCCCCCCCCAAACCAAAAGACTCCTAGCCACCTTGAATCCGGGGCATGAGATTTCCTTGTACGGAGGACTGCTTGCGGAGAACCTGTACGGGGTTCCCAGGATATCGAGGGTGTCTGGGGCTTCGATGCAGGTCATTGGGTCAATGGGTCATCCAGTGTGGTAGCTAGTGTTTTCGCTTAGAAGCTCCAATCCCGTTTCCGATAGCCTGATAATAGCAAGGAGGTGTGACTTTCTGTGTTTTTGGCAGCCAGAATCCCGGTGTGGAGGGAGGTGGGATGTTCAACCTGGCCGAAGACGAACCTTCAGGGCCTCCTCGCATTCGCCAGATTGTGTTGTACTGCTTTCTTTCCTCCGTCGGAACAAATCACTACTAGTCCAAGAAATCAGTCTGCAACCCGAGGTTCAAGCGGGCAGGTCAGGCAATGGGCTAATTTTGGCGGCTTTCGACAAGAAAAAGCCAAGGTCGAGTTTGGGGGGCCGGGGATTTTGGGCTGGTGGGCTCCTCCTGATACGGCGTCGGCGGCCTTGGCTGGTCGTAAGTAATTCGCCAGGGTGGCGCCAGGGCGGCATCAGAGGGTGCGTTGGACAGTCTAGAAGACATAACGCTTTGTTCCTTCAGGGGTCTAGCGGGCGCCATGGAACATTCATCACCCCTTCGGTCGAAAGGCCTGCGGCTTGTCATTGGCGGGAAATTGAGAGGATGACCAAGACAGCAAGCGAGCGAATGTCTGTCCAGGTGTCTCTTCCCAGTTGTCCAATCTTCCGAATATTAAGCGGTGGTAATACCTCGTACAACGGCAATGGCCCAGGACTCAACTTTCAGAAATCATCGGGTTAACACCAATCGTGCCGGGCCCAAGTTTTCTTGCCCGTAACGTCTAGTGTATGTTTGCCATCGTTGTCATAGTATTCGAAGCTCTTGTGGCATTTTTCCGTGCCTTTTCCGCACTGGTTCATGTCATCTCGAAACCAAATGCTCCTGCAACGTCTTTGCACTGTTTGCAAGGTTGAACTTCGGACAACTCCTTGTTGGTCCAGTTCCACGGGACAAAGGACGGATTCTTCCTTCGGCTAGCCAACTGCTCCTTGCATAGACTTCCTGTTGGACATGGTGGCTTGCAGACCTCGGGCCCAAGTTACGAACAGAACTGAGCGATGGTATTGTTTGCAAAGTCCTCTGAACCCCAAAGCTAGGCACTGGCTGATCCTCGGGACCAGACTCGATGCGTCTCCGTCAAACCGTCCATGAGGCATGGCAGGACAAGACTAGTGAACTGTACCTCAGCCTTGCGTGGTGATGATGAGTATGTAACCCTTCCTCTTTGGCTCTCCGGCTCCTACATATCTCAAGAGGTTGATTCTGACCCTAAACTGTGGCGCTGGAAAAGTCCAATGCTCACAGTCGTTTTGGAGCCCTCGCTCGTCAAGTTCCCCTCGTTGTGGTCTCCTAGACACGCTAACAGAGGAAGGGGAGCAAGAAGTGGAGCTCCCACACTGTCCCGGCCATTGCGATTCCAGGTTCGACTGTCTGTAGGCAGTTATGTCTCGGGCCACTGTTTGCGAGGATCTCAGCCCGGGGACGTGTGACCCCTTCAGCCCATATCTTCCCCGATATCATGCCATTTGCCTCCTCACGCCAATGTGACAACGCAGGGAGATCAGTCGCGCCCAAGCTCAATTTCTCCTTCGATTGTCTAACTGGTCGACTTGCGTTCCTTGGTGAGGACATCGAAATAGCGACTCCACAGCGGCCACAATCCTCCTGGGAATTTGAGATCATGTTTTGCCACATGGAATTGCGAAAGTCTTGGCTTCCCAGCCTCTACAACACCATTAACCTGATGCTGATATTGATATTCTGGAGAATACTTCGGTCTTTCTTTGGCCTTCACTTCTCCGCAGATGTAAGTCGGTTGTGTGGTGAGCTTCCGATCGATATTACAGAGCGACACTCGCCTGAGGTGTTGTCCTGTCCATAAGGTTCAGCAACAGTACGGACCACCAGATACGCCACTAGTTGGATTTAGGCGTGCAGAGATTCTGGCCGCCAAGGTGGCTCTCCTGATCCGTATGCCATGCGTTTTTATTTTCGTGACTGTTGAGCCTCGCTCCGGGCTAGGCAATCTGGCCCCGGCGGGCGCCCAAACTCTGGTCAACTAGGCCTGGGTGGCGCTCGAACACCATTGAAAGCGAGAAATTTGGGTGTCTGGGCTCCATCCACTCGATAGATTGACCCAGATCCTGCATCAGTTCTGGCCTTCTGCACACATGAAGATCTTGTCTTGCTTCGAGCGCATGTGGAAGAGACCGTTCTATTCAAACACCAGGAGATCGAGCCCAGATTCTAATGCTGGTTGGTCCCCAGGTCCGGACTTGGGGAATGTCGACCTCTGACCAGCTACTGTATGTGGATTGCCACCTCGTCTAGCAGGGAAGCTGCGGCTGTGTCTCAGCTCGTTGATTTGCATTGGTCAACGTCTCCCTGGATATCGGTGCGGTAGAACCGCTGAAGGGTGCAGCTTCCGTCTCAGGAATGCAGCACTTGTCGATCGGTCTATCCTGTGTCATTTGGTCCAGAATCCCAAAGGCAATCTGGGTTGTTGCTATCCGCCACCCTTCTTTTGCACCGCTACTCTCTTCATTGCCACTCCGCGATGACAGGAGATCTTCGGTCCAGTTGGCGAGACTCGCGGAGAGCTCCAAAAGATTTCCCAACACGTTGTGAGAACGTGAACCCAAGTTGCAGAGCACTTCCACTTTCGACTCAACCCGAGCCTTTGATACCATAGGCACGTGCAGCCCAGAGAGTACCTCGTCCGAAACAAGGGCCGGCCAAGTAAGGTGTGTCCGCAAGTCAGCAGGCGTAATAGCCTCAATCGCACATAGCCATTCAACCAATTTCGTCATTTTTGCAGCCGCGTCTGAATGACCGAGCGTTGCTGGATGGTCTCCATTCATCACAAAACCAGTTATTTCCACGACGAGCATGGTGATCAGAAGTTGGAGACTGATGAAATAGGCCCATAGCAAGAAGGCTACCTCGCTGACTGCATCTGGGGAAAACACTTCTTTCGCTTCTGCAAGCTTGAACCAAACAGCGTAATAGCTGAGAAACTCGTCATATCCCCAACTCGGAGATACTTGAAATCCAGAAAAGGTCGAATCCAAGGCTCTATAGAACCTTTGGCCAGTACCTGTGTGTTCAATACACGGGTGAGCTGCATGGAGTGCTAACATGCCCTTCGACAGCAATATTTGGAACCTAGAACCTGGTGACAGGCTTGCGCTACCGAGTCTGGATAAGGTTGCGTGTTGGGTCGGAGATCCACTCAAACTACTCTGAATGTTGAAGATCGTCTGCTTTCCTTCATCTCGGATACGGGCCGTGACAAGAGCGCAACCTCTGACGAATGTGGTAAAGTCGAAAGCTGACTCCGGCACGAGAGCAGACTGAAATGCCAAGGCATAGCAAGTTGCCAACATCACATCGTACTCGACTGAGGAGTGATTGGATTTTGCGAATGCATCCTTGAGACCAGCTATTGCGCGGCCCTTGTGGAATAATGCAGTGCATTGGTCATCGTCTACTCCGGTTAGCGTACTCAGGTGCGACGCTGCCAGAGCCAACAAAGCATTCATTAGATGCTCCGAATGGTGACTGAGTTGAGGTACCTCTTGGGTCCAAGCTGACTTGTTGGACAGGGGCAGTGGTGGGTACGCGAAGCAGAGAAAATGGTGGAACAACCGAAGGTCATGCAGAGTGAAAGATGCCGAGACCTTTGACATCTCGACACCCGGTCCCAGCGGCGAATGCTTGATGGCGGCAGCCTTCCCCTGTTTTTTGACCCATCGTTTGATCGACGCCGAATATTGACAGTCCCTTCCCTTCGAGACACAGTTGCTACATCGAGGCTTCTCTTCGCCGCATTTGACATGACGGATCTTGCACGTAAAGCAGCCTGTACGGGACTTGTTGTGGGCTCGACGAACAGCTACCCCGGCGGGAACTATTGTCACGAAGAAGCCGTGCGGGTGACTCGCCATCTGGCCTTCTTGTGTCGCCCTTGTTGTCAAAAATATGGGATCCTAGAGCTTGCTCGAGACAGTCGAAATGGCAGGGAGATTGCTGGCCATGAAAGAGCAGTGCTTGCATTCAAAGATGGAGACAGACACAACTTCACACCATGTCTGCTTCGTCAGCCTGACGTGGACGACGCTATCGCCAATCGGGAATAGTTTGCGATACGAATACGGCTTCCCTTTTGGGGGCTGCATGTCGCCCCACCACCACCGTCATTGGACGGTGACGTCTTCTATCGACTTCAGAGGGTTCTGTCTTGATCTCTTGTCAAAGCAAACTTACCTTCATATTTTGCCCAATCTTGCCGGCAACCATAAGCAGCCTCATTTCCTGTGCACTCACTCTCTTTTCAATGTTCCTGCCCACTGACAATTGACCCCTACTTCGAAAGTGAGTTGGACTCCGGTCAAGGCCAGGCAAACATGCTGCAGCACCACCTCTATTTTATCTTACTCAGGGAGAAGATGTACCCTACTGCCGAACTTGCGGTTGAGTAATAGGTCTTCTCCTCGTGTCAATGCGTTATGGGACTTGATTACTGACACTGTTAAGGTTCCCGTAAGCAGCAACAGAAGGGTTCAATCACCATCAAATATTGCTCCGATCGATGTCGAAATCGAAAACCAGGTCCCGTAGACAATAAGGTTGAGAGAACGGTGGTGTCACTTTTGAATGCAGAGACCTGATCCGGAATTGAGAGAACCGCTGCCAAATCCGAGTTAACCAAGGGCGGCCGACGTATCATTGTGACATGTGATGAGCTCAAAGAGATTATCTTCGGCAGTAAACACGATCCCGCAAAGACATTTGGACGCAAGGAGAATCGCGCAACCGGTGCATTTCAAGGAGAAGGCGAATGGAAAAGTGTCGACGTGGATGAAAATCACGATGGCCACTCGGATCAGGATTTGTCGCTAGTAGAGGCAACTCATCCGCGAATCCGTCCAAAGGTTCGACCTCCTCAGCTAGAATCCGACGTCAGCGGTAGCATCGGTGGAGAGAAAGGTTGGGCCGAGCGTCACTTTGAAACAGCCGAAGAGTACGAAAAGAGGTTGGAGGGACAGCAGCGTGCCGAAGAACGCGAGATGATTCGGCGAGCTGCAAGGCGAGGTGTTACTTTTGGCTTTGAGGTGGGCTTGCCACAATCGGATTACCAAACACAGCAGGTCAAAGGAAACTCAGGGTCGGGTCGAGATGATATCAACACCGAGAATCGACCATCCCAACAGCGGCGACGAAAATGTGAAGCGGTAATGAATGGTTCAGTAGTTGAACCCAGTTTCGCCAAAGGCAATTGGGTTATTCGGTGGAGGGAGTAGGACGTCTGCGTCCTTCAATGCCAACCTCGCGTAGTATGGCAAGGCCATCATCATGGCGATGCTCAGAATGAAGGCGTTGTTGGAAGCTAAGTCGTTCCTCTCGGCACCAGACCCGGAACCCCAGAGGTAAGGGAAACGAGGAAGGTTGCGAAAATTATTGGGCATTTCCCGATACTTGCATTTGAATGTGCCTATTCGGCGGTTCGTGATCAGTCACTATGGGAATCCTTCAACCAAAAAGAACGACCATGAGCCTGCCTTGCTTATCACTAGCACAACGATAACCAGCTCATTGAAACAGAGAGGGGATTCTCTACCAGCGGAACCCGGAGTCGCTTCTGCATCGTGCCTGAGATTGGAAACCAACTAGGGCCCAGATGGCATCTTGTCGAGTCTCCCACTACATGTTCGTGTGAGCCATGCCCCGGGCAGGATAACGATCACCCTTGACAGGGTTTCTTTTCAAGATGTCAGCAATCTCATTCATCTCTGCGTCCGACAGCTCGACGATCGTCGTGTTCTCGATGACCCGCTCCGGCCTGGTGGCGCCGGGGATGGGGATAATGGTACCCAACGTGATCTCCTCTCCGTTTTCCGTGGTGATGGTTCGTCCGCTCAGGCTTCGGACCCAGGCGATGGCGATCTGCGCTTTGGTGACACCCTTCTTCGCCGCGAGTTTCTCAACTTCGTCCACGATCCGGTTATTGTACTCAAGGACGTCGTCCTGGAATCGGGGCAGGTGTTTACGAATATCGCCTTCCGGTATATCAGCGTGCTTGCGAATGGTCTCGCCTGCCAGGGCTCCGCGACTGAGGGGGCTGTAAGCGATAATAGGGATGTCAAGTTTGGCGCACGTTGCGGCAACGCCGTTGCGAAGAATATCCGTCGTCCAGAGTGATACTTCAACCTCGACGGCTGCAATCGGATGGATGGCATTTGCCCTCTCTATTGTACTGGCTTTGACTTCAGACAGACCGATGCCGCCAATTTTACCCTCTTTGATAAGCTGGGCCAGGGCGCCAATAGTCTCTTCAAGCGGTACATCTGGATCGAGCCGTGCACACTCGAAGATGTCGATGTTCTTGGTACCATCAAGAATCTTCAGGCAATCTTCCACGCTGCGACGCACGTTTTTGGCAGAGCCGTCAGGCTTCAGCTGGCCTGGGACTAGGCCGCCCTTGATGCTGAGGACGATCTTGTCCGCATCCCCAGGGTGTAGTTTGAAGTACTCATGAAGCAAATGGCAAGAGTGCCGCTCTGGGGTACCGTAGAGCTCGCCACCATTCCAGAGGGTTGCACCTTGCGAGAGTGCCGTCTCCATGGCTTTGAAGCTGTCGTTAGCTGGCTGTGGAGCCGGTCGCCACGTCAAACCCATCAGACCGTAGCCGACGGGGCCAACGGGCTTGCCCAGGATCTTGACCGTGGCAGACATGCTGGAATTGTTGAGTCTTTAAAAGTGACACCAGGTCCGAGATCTGAGGAAGCGTCTTTGACGTAAACCAAATTCGTTACAAGCTAAAGGGCTCCGTGCTAACGATGGTATGGGGGACGATCGTAAATAGAGAAAATATAGTCAAACTTTGGAACTCGAGCTTTTTGAAAATGCTGTCGACGTTAGGAAGGAGATGGCGTTACGAAACTCAGCTGGTTGAAGAAGGGAAGTGATGATGTCGGCAATGATGCGAATGCTTCAAGTTGCGGAACGGCGCGAAGTCGATATGCAAGGCTTGAATCGATGGACCGGAGAAGAGCTGCTGGTCAATTTAAAGTCCGGCTGGTCAATCTAAAGTCCGGCTGGTCGTGGTTGAACAGCCTTGTGCATACTATGGCAGGTCAGAAAGATCAAAGTCATTGTACTATACTATGGGATACATCTGGGTTCTGTAAAGTACTATCTGCAGGAACAGAAGGGTCGCCGACTATCGTTGGGGGGAAGACAAAAGGAATTCATGCGTTTCATCCCACTGTGAAGACCTGACTGAAGAGAAACCTGAGTGTTGTGTAATCCAAAAAGACCCCCTTCCCTCAACAGCCACGTTCTCGTCCATGCCACTCCAAGTCATGTACAGGTCACGATGTTTTGTAGAGCTTGGTTATATCCCGGTGCCAAAAAAAAAAGAAAAAGTCAAGAGATGGTGACCTCCCAATAAAGCAGAAATGCGCTGGCACAAACCACTTTTTCCCTCTCGAATTCCATCCATCGCAGCCATCAGGCCCACTGACCTCAACCGAGGACTTCCTGGCCCTTGTTACAGTCGTCGGGCATCAAGCCACGCCTTTGTGCATTGGTCATGTCTTCGTTCAATTAATGGAAAACAGTGCGCCTGTCATGTCTTCCTCGCCGAGGTCATTTGGGTATAATATCTATGCTTGGTGATGTTGATGCATATGTTGCCAACAGCAGAAAGGAAGGACTCCTAACATTCCTGCTTCATGCTTGTACCAGTTTGTCGCCGACGCAGCGGTCGCAATGCTGGAAAGATAAAATTGAGAAACTCGTCACTTTGATGAAGGGTATCATTGATCACCGGTATCTTCACACAGCAAATCCGATGCAGAGCCCGCTTGTGCGCCGAAGTGCTAAAATTATTCAAATTGCTCATTTTGCGTGTCGGTAACTGTGTCGCTCAGGTTGATGAGGAGTTGGGCCAGACATCGCTTGGTGGCAGCGTCATCCCGGAGGACATTGGAAAAGGTTGCATCCCGAAGTGGCTCTGGTAGGCACTGCCGCAGTGCTTGACGAGCTCGATTGTTGTCACTTAGCCTGATAATTTGGTCAGTAACCCACGACAATCTTGAATCTGAAACCTGGACAGACGGCTAACCTCAAAAAGCATCTCACCACGTGTTTCAAAAGCCGGACGGTCTGAGTTTCGACCAAGCCGATGACCATGTTGCTCAGGACGGTGCCGACTGCGTAGAATCGTTCGTAGGTGGCACAGATATATCCTAGACCTGTGTCATCAAGCAGAATCTTCTGCACAATGAAGATGGCAACAGTTTTGGACAATTCGCTGCCTGTCTCCATGATACGCAAGCAAAGTGGGATGATCTCTGTGGTCAACAGGAACGTGATTGTTGGCGAAGAGTTGTTGGTATTCCCGTGTGCTCCGGGGGTGCCTGTCGGGTTCATGGAGACACCAGATGAGGGTTCATTCTTGACTAGAGCGCCGATGACACCAAGCGAAGTGAGCCGCAGGTATTCGAAAGGTCTTGACTTGGAAGTGGTGTTCAAGAAAGGATAGAGAAATAGTGGAATGTGAGCTGACGGCTGAGATTAGCATCGTATCCGCATTTCGAGACCGTGAGAATACTTACCATTGAGAAACAGCCCTCTAGTTTCATTGTGGCTCGCCACACATTGAAGCAAGGCCAAGGCGTTGCACACACGGTTACTGGCCGCCGCGGTGAGCTGACTTGGATTCAGCAGTGGATAGACCGAGATAATCTCTTGGAGCAGACTGGTCATGACGCCAAAACTGTGCCAGAGAACCAGCGCGAGCTCAGGCACTTGTTCCCTCTTTTTACTGAGTTCCATCAGAGCTCCCTCTCTTCTGTTCGGATCCATCAATTCCGCCACCCATTGTAAGACCTTGCGATTCTCTTCCGACAGTTGCTGATCCATGCCGGGCGATGCCTGTTCGTTCATCGAGGTCAAAGATGGGCCCATGGGATTCTGCGCGTTGTCGGCCGCAGCCTGCCGGTTTGCGTTCTGCACATGGGAAGAGTTATGGTTCGGATTGATCGCGAGTCGGGAGTAATGTTGCTGTTGTGCGGCGGCAGCAGCAGCAGCAACAGCGGCGGCTTGGGCTTGCGCCTGTTGTTGCCCGTGGCTCAGAGTCTGGTGACTCTGCTGCGGACCATTGTGCTGCCAGGAGGATTGATCATGCTGGTTGTACTGTTGCTGATGCGAGTAAAGATGCTGTGTCTGAAGCATGGTGTTCGGGGTGTCGATCTGAGGTTCAGGCCAAAGTCATTCTCAGGTCAAAAGGGTGAGGCAGGACGGAGGAAAATTGGCAGACACTCGAATGATGGTGAGTGAAAGACCGTGGTTCAAGTGACTGAGCAGATTCGAGGACAATGTGAGAGACTAAGATCCTGAAGTATAGAGGCTGGGACTCGACAATGAAAGAACAAAGGGATTCGATGCAGGTTGCAGTTTGCAGATTGCAGAGCGGGGAGCGGGAACGAAATGGAATCGGCCCCCTACATGTACTTACGGTCTGCAGCAAACTCGAAAAGGATCAACGAGCATCACGAGCTAACCGCGGGCTCAGGGCGCAGTTCTACTGGGTACGTAGCTCGCCGTACATGCCTCTGGTAGCGGGGAGGAGGCCTAGTGAGCCTTAATGCTTGGCAGCTTAGTTAAGATGGAGACCCTGGGTGACACGGCGATGTCACCGAGGCTAGGGGGCTCACCTTCACTACCGCCTAGAGACCGCCTGTTAACAACTACTGGCGCTACCTAAACATCCTTATAGGCACACGATACGCTTGTTGCTGTTACGTACCACTGAGCCACATTATCAGCCAAGTACCGAGAACACTGACACCACCACATTCCAGAAACTGCAAACCTCCAGGCAACGGTGGCCACATATTTTGACTGGTCGGCAAGCTATGTCGCAGTGCTTCCAGATGATTTCATTTGTGCATTCTGCCCATCATTGTACTCCGTATACTCATTTCCATCTACAAGTCTCGTCCATCAACTGTAAGAGGGCGTCCCTTCATTACACCCCATGTCCAACGTTCAGGTTCCGGCGTCCAGAACCCCCCATCGCAATGCAATATGCTTCGCTAAGAAACAAAATGAATTTGGAATCATTATCTACATTTCATCGTCTCGACCTTGATCTGCTGCTTCGCCTCGTTCTTCGATCTGAAGAGCTTTCACTACCTGTTGCAAAGTTAGAACACTGTGAGAAGGAGAGACCAGAGAATCAGTTGTACTTACTTGATACCGTGTAGTCCGAAAAGTAGGAGGAGCCATAGCCGGA